AAAAATATTTTCAGCATTCAAATTTCCTAGCCTCTTTAGTTTGATGCCAATATTGCAATATTTAATTTATGCTATCAATTAAATTAAATTAAAGTTTTCAAATAGGTGGAAACCTTCCACAAAAATATTTGCAGCTGTAAGCCTTTGTAAATTTCTTTCTTTTGACAGCCATATGCAGTATTCACTTTACCATATCAATTGACCTAAACTGAAATTTTAAACACAGGTGGCAACTCTCTAATTTTTTTTTCTATAATGGAAGCTAGATCTCTAGCGATACATCGGTGAAAACTGCATTCAATTCCATGCTTTCGACTGATGCGCGTACAAATATACAGACAGGCAGAGATTAATTTTTCTTTAATATCTATAAGGTACAGACATCGATCTGTTACAATTTTATTATATGTATAGATGTAGATATAGATTTCATTTATTTTATCAATTTAATACAATAAAATTTTTCAAACAGGTGGCAGTCCTCCCTAAAAATATTTTCGACAATAAAATTTCCTAAACCCCTTCAGTTTGATACCCATATTGCAATATTCAATTTATCTTATAAATTAAATTAAATGTAAATTTTCAAACAGGTGGCAACTCTAAAAAAAAATATGTTTGGCTGTAAGCCTTCTCCAGCCTCTTTCTTTTGCGGCCAATTTGCAATATTCATTTTTTCTTATCAATTCACTTAAACTCCAATTTTCAAACAGGTGGCAACTCTCCAATTTTTTCCTCCTATATTTTAAGTTAGACCTCTAGCCATACATCGGTGAAAACTGCATTCAAATCCATGTATTCATTTTGGAGTGATGCGCGAACAAACATACAGACAGACAGACAGACAAAAATTCTAAAAATGGTTGATTTGGCTTCTGGTGCTCTAATAAAGACCCCCCACATTAATTTTTCTTTAATAACTATAATGTACAGACATCGACCTGTTACAATTTTATTATATGTATAGATTAAGCATTGATATTAAATTTAACCTACATTTTGTTCATAAATAACACAATAATATATATTTTATCCTCGAAAAGAACTTTTTCCAATCATGAGGCGAAATTCCCCACAGTAAGTGTTGCCGTGCGCGAAAAACGAAAACGCTGCACACAACCCAAAAGTACTCCTCGGGGACCAATTGGAGAAAAACTGAGAAAAGGTTTATTACTGTATATACTGTGGTTTGGAAAACCGCAGCCTAAAGCTGATGTCAGATAAAACTTTGTAGCTTTGCGTGACATTTATAACTTTGCCAGCAAAGCGCCAGACGCAAAAGGTATGCCACAATGAACGCCAAGAAAACAATTCTGTACTGCTTTTTTACTCGTCAAAATTGCTGTGGATTTTTTATATTTTGCTTTAAGATTATTAGCAATATAATAAAGTTTTATGTTTCTGCATGAAAACTCGAATTTGGACGAAACAAAATAAATATTAAACCGGCTGATTGTCAAAGCGCGCAAAAAGATGGGAGTTGGCCATCTTTTCGCGTCGCGCTACAGCTTCAACGATCTATGTGGCATGCTTTGTGCATTTTCATACAATTCATCTTATCTGTCAAAGCGAATCTGTCACGTAAAGCGAAGCAAAAGTTTTATGTGGCATCAGCTTAAAAGCGCAGTTAGTCAACGACGTAGCGTAAACGTAGGTTGGCGTACGTAACAGCATATCAAATTTACTGTTGATAGAGAGAAAGAGAAGCAACGGCAACGTTTTCGCTAACACGCGAATCCCATAAGGTAGATCGTGTCTGCGTCAACCTACGTCTACCTTACGTCGTTGACTGTTTGAGCTTTTAGGCCTAAAACTTGGCCAGCGAAAGCTTTAATTTGTACTTAGAGCTTTTGAAAGCTTTGGCAGTCTGTTTTACTACCTCTTTTTACTCAATTAAATAAAGACCTTATTTAAACTGAAAATACAAAATTAAATTAAAGTTAATTTCCACTTAAATGAGTTTGGAGAAACCCAGCCTAATATTACATTTACATTGGACCCAAATGCATTATTTGGGCGAGAAATCTGAAATGCGAAGCCAAATCAGGCATATCTCCATACAAATTCGTATTTCCAAAATGACGCATTTCAATGCATTTAATCAAAATGACGAAGCAAATGCGTTCCAATTGCTGAACTTTTTTATTGAACACACTAAAAAACAAAAGCTCTCCAAAAGCTTTTGTTTGTTTTTGACATTTTAAAATCACAACAAACTCAACGTAATAAATAAATCTTTGATATTTGTGTATAAAAATTGTTAATTTAATATTACGTTCAAATTGGCCCCATTTAACTTGTTAAATGAAAAAGAGCTTTTGGGAAAACACAATCGTCCACATTGAACATTTGGAGTTAAACTTGACGGTTGTTTGATTACCAATAAAAACTCGAAAAAAATATTCAAAATCAAGTTTTTGTGTTTCAATTTGTTTTGTGCGAATGTCTGCTTCATGATATTAACGCATACGGATTACTTAGAGACTTCAAATGTTTAGTATGTATGCACTATTTATCTCTGCGTACGATGAGACCTCATGGAAAATAACTAATTACCGCCTTGGCCTCTTTTTTGGCGAGCAGACATGCGTACAATTTTGATATTTTTTGATAATTTTCAATTTTCAATATTTTTCAGAATATACATTTTTTGAACGTTGGCGTGTCAAATGAAAGCTTTTGGGCTTCTGATGCAACTCTGCGCTGAACTGGTTTTCAAACGAGTTAAATGATTTAACTGGTTCAATTTTCCAACAACAATTGCATGCGATTTAACTTGTTTATGAACATGTTTTGTTCATTCATCTGGTTCAAGCCCATTTAACATGTTTAGCTCGTCAATTTGAACGTAGTATAAGCCTAGTTTTCATTAGGTCGTATTTGACGCCAAATGTTGTCAAAATAATGAAAACGGGTTGTCATCTGGTGTCATTTGCGTTTGTTGTCATATATCACCACGCACGGTCATATAAAATTACATCCAAATTAAAACGGCCCTCGCCGCTGATGTGGCAGCATTTGACAACCAAAATGTATTTGCCAACATGTTGGCAATTTTGATTTCGTTTGCCATGCGAACAGCTGATTCTAGCTACAATATGGACCGTTTAGCTACAAAAAAAACCAAAAATGCAAATCGATAGAACTTTTCACGCTGATTTCAACCATACCCAAAGTAAAAATCAAAGAAAATATAAAAAACTACATTTTTTTGTTTTTTTGTATTACTGACTCAAAAATATAAAAAATCAGAAAAATTATTTACGTCAACTGAAAGATAATCATCTTTATTTTGACATCATTAGTTGTTTAATCGGTTATGTAGTTCATAAGATATTGATATTTAAAAATATCGAAAAATTTTACTTAACCTACCATATCTTCTTAATTTTTTACTTGCTCTAAATAATTTTTTAAGGTTAAAATCAGCACGAAGAGTTCTATCCAATTACATTTTTGGTTTGTCTATAGCTAAACGGTCGGTATTCTACACTTTTTGTAAAAATTTAACATCACATTTGACATCAGTAATGAAAACGGAATGTCAATCATCTGACACCGAAATTTGACGACAGTCTTTGACATGCACTGCGGTATCGACATTTGGTCAGTTTTTAAAATGTAATGAAAACGCATTTGACATCAAATGAACAGCTGTCAGATGAAGGCAGTTTTTGATGTCAGTGATTTTGACCTAATGAAAACCAGCACATTCTATCATTCTCTCACTGCTCTAGAGTTGCAAGTAAAAAAAATACGTCGATGTTTTTTTCCATTCGATGCATCGAAATATAGCATCGATTCATATCGATATGTCGTATAAAAACATCGATATTTTCAATGCATCGAATGAAAATATATGCAGTTTTTTTTTAAATAAAAATATACAACAAGAAAGTGAAACAATCGGAGCTTCGATAAATGGTAAGTATTAACTCACAGTGAAATGTATTTATTGATTTAAATAGTTACAAATTCCAGTTTTTATTTATTATTTTGAGTTTTCGAAAAAAGTTTTTGAAAGGTATGTTATGTAGCTGCAGGTTGGATGCAAGGTCGAGTAGCGAGTCGGCATGCTCGCGGTCCCAGGCACAGCTCATCGGGTGGGGTGGGTCTTTCGCTCTCGCCTTACTAGCGCTACCTTAACAAAAAAAGTTGAAGTTCACATGCCGAATGTGTAGAAGAATGAAGGAGAGTCAACGAAAACAAAAAAGAGAGGAACGAAAGTATGAAAAGAAACGAAAGAAAAGTCCAGTCCCGTCAGGCGGAGTCTACCCACCCTCTTCAGTGTTCACCTGACGCGAAGCCATGGGCGTTGTATTGACTTCTCTCACCTTACAACGCCCCCTTAACCTGACCATGTCCGTCTGTCAATCATACAATCCTCCTAAGTCGATCTGTCTATTGTCCGTCGTTACCTCCATGTCCCCTCTTGCGCGCAAACGCCACCCCTACACCAAATAATAAAGAAAGTTAATGCCTCATTTCAACTGCATACATGACATCAAGCATAATTCATCTTGTTTTATTATTTACTATTTTACAATTCAAGCTAACAAAAAAAAATTTTAATCTTAGTTACCAACTCCTCATCTATCTGGATTTAATTCAAATTCCCTTGATTATTATATTACATGTTAACCATAAGGTATGTAAACATTATTAAGTTGTGTGCATGTTTATGTATGAAAATTTGTATGTGAGCAACAAATGTACAAACATACACATGTATGTAAATAGCAACGTATATGTCAAATATAATTAACTGAGATAGCGAAAAAACTACAAAGTGCATAAAAAAAAACATTTACACTAATTTTGGTGATTTAAGTGCACTACAAACGCGACCAGCCAATGCAAAACCGGTTTTAGGTATAGTAACCAATAATTACTCTCATATGCCTGCGGGAATATTGCGATAATGCAAGCTATGTACATAGGTATGTCTATACGCTCGTATATATATATATATGCGTACATATGTGCGCAAATACTATGGGCAAAAAAGACAAACAAATTTACTCACTCACCTGTCTGCTTCCTCGATGATGGTACCAACATTCCGGAGAACAGCCTGTGTGGGGAGATAGAAGCTTTACAAGCATACATACATATGTTCACGCGCCTTGGCGGTATTTTATTCCTAGTTTTGCGATCAGTTAATCAATCGCTCTTGATTGCGTGCATTGCGCGGGTGCCTCAAACAACAAATAAAGTTGAAAAAAAAACCCAAATGCTCTTGTAATTTTAACTACCTGGTCTAAGTGACCAAGAATTTGATAAAAAAAGGAAGAAAGTGCCCTAAAGTGAAATAAAAGCTAATAAAAAAAAAACCAAGCAATGAGCTTTCTTTCTACAAATGATTCCTCCTATAAAAGTAAATGCGTAAAACTAATAAACGGATAACATAATAAAGAGAAAACAAAAGTAATAATAATAATAATGCATGTAGAAAGGGAATACTACTGGTGTGCTAAATAAGGCAACAAAAAAAAAAAAACACAACAAAAATCACCAAGTAGTGAATAAATGCTAACTAAAAAAAAAAAGGAAATTGCTAGCTTATAATGTACAAAGGCTTAAAAGTTCAACGCATAAGCTAACGGAAAAAAAGTAGGAAACGGAATTGCAAAAAAAAAGGAAAAAAAAGTGAGTAATAATCATAAAAAAATTAAAAGTTATTACTATCTGATGATTTAAAAAAAGCAAACTAAGTGGTTCTCTAGACGTAATTCATATTCCTAGAGTTAAAAATTCAAACGAAACTTAGGCAAATTCAATACAAAAAAAAAATTTTTTAAATTCTGATTTATGCGGTTTATGCGATAGGTTGCTGCTCGGCTACACAGCAGATGTCAGCGCTGGTGACATGCGGGATGTTGGTAGTGTTAGTGCTGAGCAGTGGTTCCCACGTAGTCCGGAGCGGCGTTTGCTCCTCTCTGGTGATTCAGCCCGTTCTTGGGTTGCTGACAATCTCCGCCAGCTCTTATACGCTCCTTGTATCTACACAATTTCCGGTCGATGACCCACTTATGCCTTCCTCCAAACAAAACAGCTGTTGATGTTGCTGGCCAAGCTCAGCTGGAGCCTTAAGGCAGTGTCGGTGGGTTCAGATACGGTAAGTAGGTGACGTCAAATTCCTGAATATGTTTGATGGCTCTCCAACTAGCGCCGTTGACGAAACTGGTTGCGCCTTCCGTGTCGCTGGGGTACGTGCGTATAGCGCTAGTTTGCACCTTTAACATTAGCAAGGAGTATGCGGCGTATCCCTCGTATGCTAATCCTGGAGGTCCTTTTGCGTTCCTTCTGCTGGCGACCTGAAACACCAAAACATCTTTTTAGCACTTTTCCTAAGGTTTCATAG